AGTGCTGGGGCCGCTAGAGAACATATCAAGCCGATTCTGTTTAAATTACATTGGCTACCAATTACATTGGCTGCCCCAGACTATGGAATGCCCTCCTGACTGAGATTCATCTGGTGCCGACGCTGATGACATTTCGGCGCCAGGTCAAAACCTTCCTGTTCCAGGAGGCTTTTAATTGAAATAATATCAGCTGTGGGTCCTGATGGCAATTTTTAGAGTATATATTTTAATTGCATTTTAATTGTTTTGTCTTTTTATTGTATTTTAAATGTTGTAACCCACCCAGAGACCTTTGGGTAGTGTGGGAGGCATATAAGTTAAATGAATAAATAAATAAACAAATAAATAAAAGTAGTAAGTATTCATAGTGTTATTTTCGATGTAACAAGTGATGTGATCTTTAAAATTTTGCTTTTAAATGGCATTTGCAATAATTTTTAGAGACATTGTCCCAGCCCTGCCCCCCAATTTTATGCCATCCTCTTGTTAATCTTAAGGGAAGCATTAGTCTTTTGCATGGCTGGATAGCTCAGTGACTCAGAGCACCAGATGGTGGAGCCAAGGGTCAAAAATGTGATTTTCCACTGTGACCTGCAGAAGAACAGCCATACTGTGTGGCCATGGACAAGCTACACAATCCTAGACCACCCATAGAAGGGAATAGTAAACCACTTCTAAATACTCTATACCAAAAAACAAGCAAACAAACAAACGAAACCAAACACAACCCTGAAAAGGGTTGCTATAAGTCAGAATTACTTTGACAGCATATAATTAATGTTTGGAAGTATTTTCAAGGTGTAGTATTAGGAGTGGCTACTAGCACGAACTTGAGGCTATTTCTTGTTCTTAGTTAATATTTAATGTTTATTAACGCATGAGGCAACAAGTTACAAATATAACAGAGTCTGGCTACAGCAAAGCAATAAATAACCCAGCATAATGAGTTTCCTTTAAAAAATAACATTCTAAGCTCTTTTTTAGGACAAAGGGAAAACCACAGTTCATGGAAGACTTCCTGGCTCATTTGCTCACTTGCACAAACTGAGGAGCAAAAGAGTCCAAAATTTTTGGTCATATTAATGTTTATGAAGTTAAGATACAGTTGTCTCAAACATGGCCACAGAGTAAAAATGTGACTGCACTGACAAATAATGCAGGAAAATTTCCAGGATTGGGACAGTCTAATTTGCATTATTTTCCATTATCTACATGATGTACAAGCCAATGCAAATCTGGTCGAAGTCCCACCTGCCCCAATCTATACTTCTTCCCTCTGCCGCTGTGACTTCTACATTTTTCAAATTGAATGCACATTGGTTTCGATGATATGATTGCTTCAGCCAATGCAATGCTTGACCAAAAACTAGGTCCCTCCTTATCCATGGGATCAGTATGTGCTGATTCACTTATCCATCGTCTGAAAATATAAAAAATGTTAAAAGAAAAATCTATAAATACTGTATGTGTGTGTGTGTATGTATTTATATGTATATATACATGTGTACTGTATGTATGTACAGAAATAGATTTTCTTGATGTTATTACCAGAACTGCCACTGGATGAAGGCAGAGACCATGATATGTATAGGGTTTTCACTGTTAAAATACTGTTCTGTGTTTTTCAGCATCCATGGAAGTGGGCATGGAACTGATGATCCATGGATATGGTGGTCCTACTCTAGTTCAGGGGTAGTCACAGCTCCTGCAAATCTGCCGTAAAGCTACTTTTTAAAGGTACTAACAAGTGTAGATTGCCAATTTCCTCTTCTGTTTCTGCTGATTTTCTGTGTCATCCGCTAAAGTGAATTCAGCTGGGGAAATCCAACTTGCTGGGTACAACTTTACAATGGATCACTTCAGCACTTCAGGTCCTTCCTGTTGCATAGTCACACACTCAGTTATTACAGTTTGAAAAGTAGACACTGTGTCCAGTAGGAGATGAGGACTGAAAGAAAATTTGCACTTTATTAAGAAATATAGAACTAATGTTAATGCAGCACCATATAGATAGCTAGATAGAAGCAATTGATCTCTCTGAATGGCTCATGGCTGTAGGAATGGCTGGGCATATAATGTCAGTAAATGAATGTGATAAGACAGCTGCTATTATGTTTAGTAAAAAAGGTGTCCAAGTACGGTAGATGTGGAAAGTGGACTGCGATGTTAGAAAGGATTTCTATACTGTAGGATTTCAGCGGGGCATAGCCATTGAAAAGAGAAGTATCTATAATAGCAATGTGAGTGCTCATCTCTGTGTCTCTGCATGAAATCTTTAACTGGCTTTGTGTTCCACCATCACAGCTACTGTAAATGGTTAAACTTTGCTTTTGCAACTGGCCGTTGATCTCAGTTCTTATCTGGAGTCTTCGTAGTCCCCAAACAACCAGATGTTTTGTTGACAGAGGAATAATTCCACAGAGTGAGAGTTTCAGGTCGTACACAGTTGTAAAGTTTAACAGCATTCCCAACATGGATGGTTCTGTGAACCAAACAGTTAGGTTACTGTAGTAGGTTTTGTCTATCATATATGGCAAAACAGTCCTGCAGTTGCAGATCAGATTTGCTAGACTGTAATCACAGTCGTTATCATTAATGCCATCAGGACAGGTGCAGTTCCGGATCATGTTTTCCCTAGTGAAAATCAATGTATTGTTCTTTTGTCCTCTTGCAAAACTATCCACACAGAAGCTTAAGTAGCCGATCAAAAAGAGACGGTGCCTATAGATGGATACTGCCATCGTCATTGCAGGATTTCAAAGTCCAAGGAAATCATTTCTTAAAAATCAGTGATGATTGCCATCTCCTGAGAGACAGCAGGTGGCATTATTGGCAAACAGTACACTTAGCAGTCAAGTGTTTTTCTCACACAAACATTATGCTTTGCCTATAATCAGATCAGGGTTGGGAATACTAATTATTCAAGACATTTTCTTGCATTCCTCTTCATAACATACACAGATATGGAATCTGCATTGAAATTCCTCCTTTTCTCTCAGGATTTTGGGAGTCTTGGGAAGTCTGTATCTTTTAGTCTCATTTCCATACCTGTAACATAGGGAATAAGAGTGTTACTGAAGGAGAAATAATATAAATTATGAGTATATTTCACATGGAAAATGTGACAAATATTAATCTTCTGGTGCTGAACCTCACTCCTCCTTTCATCAAATCTAATATGAATTATATGATCGGCCTTAATATAATCACATCTGAAATACGGCTGCAATCAGTTACTGTGTTTCCCTGAAAATAAGAGAGGGTCTTATATTAATTTTTGCTCCAAAAATGCATTAGGGCTTATTTTCAGGGGATGTTTTTTGTTTGTTTGTTTGTACAACAATCTACATTTATTCAAATACAGTCATGTCATCATCTTCTGGTTGCTGCACAATGATGGGGTTTCACTTAACTTATTTTGGGGGCTTATTTTTGAGGTAGGCTTTATATTACGAGCATCCTGAAAAAATCATGCTAGGGCTTATTTTCAGGTTAGGTCTTATTTTGGGGGGAAACAGGGTTTTGTTTTTTTTAATTCTTCCATAGAATACAGATTAGAGCATATCTCTTAGACTAACTGTGCCTCTGCCAAAGCATTCCCCCCCCCATCCTCCTGAAACAGTGTTTTCAGGCACAAGGGCAAAGTGCAGGCCCATCAGAGAATCTGCAATAAATAAGCACATTTTATGTGCTTGGTTACCCTTTGTAACAAAATAAAATGCGAGAATACAGTGTAACTCAGGAGTGTGAGAAATCAGATGTGTATAACAATTCAGAGGATAATCTGTGGAAAAAGGCAACCTGGGCACCAGTGTGCAGCTCTCTTTGTTCTTAAACAAATACAATGAGGAGATTTTTGGCATATTACTAACAAGTTTCATTTGCTATAAGTTTTTACGGACAGCAGACTGTTTCTTCAGATGCTTTGTGGGCTGTGATCTATAAAGGTTTATGGCAAATAAAACAGAGAGCAGTCTATCAACCCTATTTCTTACCACTGTGACTGCTGTACCTTCCACCCATCAACAGCAATGCCACACTGGGTAACATCTGTGTCAGGTTTTTTATTTATTTATTTATTTATTTATTTATTTATTTATTTATTTATTTATTTATTTAACTACAACCTCAAGATCCACCAACCTAAGCAAAATGCAAAAGTTATATTGAGTTAACGAATGGTGTACTTCTGAGCAGATTCAAAACCTATGAATATATTTTCAGTGTAGGAAATGGAATGTATAAACATTGCAGTAAACTAAAGTTTTCACTTAGGCAACTACAAAGTGCTTTTCTCTGGAAATGACAAATTCGGAAGGAATGGAGTGGCTCTAATATTGAGGCAAGATGTAGCACAGGCAGTTAAGGGCTATAATATAAGGTCTGCTCAGATAATATCAGTCAAACATCTGGGTTGGTTCTAACCTATAAAGCCCTAAATATCTTGGGCCCAATCTATCACAAGGACTTCACCTCCCTTTACGAGCCTGCTCTCGAGTGTTAGGATCATCAGGAGATGATCTCCCAGTCCCACCACTTTCACAGGTACATTTGGTGGAGACAGAGGGAGAGGGCCTTCTCTGTTGCTGCTCCAAGACTTTGTAACTCCCTCCCACAGGAGGCCAGGCTGGCCCCATCTTTGCTATCCTTTTGCAAGCAGGCCAAGACCTTTCTCTTCAGGCAGTTTTCCCTGAGAGACTGTCTGGCTTAGTGGGCTTTTTAAATGTTATCATTGATTCCTGAATATTAAGCTCCTTTGCATTTCAGTAAGTCATATGAAATGTCTATTCTGAGCTATATGCTCTGCTCTGATAACCGTTAGCACCTACACTACACCAACATTTGATTCACTGGTTACCTACGTAGAATTATGTATGTGCATGTCTGGGTGTTATGGCACTTGCACTCAGACTATTTTACTGCTTGCATCATTTGGCGTTTTAAAAAACAAATTAACATCGCTAAGCGAGGCACCACTGTACCTATAAAACAAAGCTTGGTAAAATTTTACAGTAGAGCAATAACAAATATCTAAGTACAGTAATTGAAAAACAACACAGTAGCCAAAAGCAGATACCAGACTTACGAAATAAAAATACGGTTGAATGTCAACATGGTTAAAAATACAATTTAAAAAAAAGACCAATAATGAAATTTGTGTTTCTACTTAAAAGATTCATCCTTTCCCTAGAAGAGCCAGCCCATATCTTTCTGGCACAGGGCTAGGGCATGCAGTCTGGCTGGGATGATTCATTGAGATGCAAAATAGCTTTTTGTTCCATCTTCCCAGACAAGCATTTGAGTTAAAATAGATTGGAATCAGAAGATAAGGACTTTTAAAGCACCCACCAGATTGCATCAAATTTCACAGTGTGGATGGGCCCTCATCAGAGAAAACTGCTGGGTGCTGATCAATTTCAGTGATAATGGGTTAGATGGATCTGTATTCTGACTTGGGGTCAAACTATATATTAGACAAAGTATGTGATCGGAAGAGGGAATTCTTTAAGTGCAGAGTGTTGTATTTGCAACTTTGCACACTGCCTGTGGTTTGTGTGAGTTGGAGGGATTTTTCAGGACTGGGGTGATTGTATATTTACTCTACCACTAATTGGTAATTCCTTCCAGACTTTGATTTCAAAGAGAGCCCCACCTCCCTCTTAAGAGTCTTTCTTTCTCTCTTTTGTTTGTTAGAGGCAGTTGTTTTTTGTTTTGATCTGTTAATTTGGCTGTTAATGTGTGCAATAAAGAAAGCAGCATATATAAGTCTGTAATCTCAAGCAACTGTAAGTAAAAATTTTTTATTCTTTCTCCTACAAATGTCTCAGAGTGAGTTATTGAGATTTTAAGTGTCAATTAATGAGAAAGGCATGAACTCTGGGGAACTTGTGTGGATCATTGTACTTCTACTGCATAGCAAAAAGAGAATTTACCAGAAATCCAAAACTCTGCAACACAAAGGGTGTTTGATGGCCACAGCAGGAGTTTTTAAAAACATATTTCCTTGTTCACAAGTTAGCTTGCTTTGTTTTGCTTTCAGGATATAAACATGGGCTTCATGTGTATGAAATATTAATGTGGTTTGAGCTTCTATTTTTGTCATCTATAATCTGTAGCTTGACCATTGGTACAACATAGTGTCCACTGTTCTTAATAATAGGTTTACACTGAATACGTATTTAAAAAATTAGGTGAGGGTGAAAATATCATATCCTTATAGAGGAACTTTTCAAAAAGCTTGTATTTAAACAACAGTTTAAATTTGTAGTCTTAAAATGTCCAACCTTTCCAAGTCCTACCCATAGTATTTAGTCTTTGTGGTTGGTTGCTGTAGTGAGGAATATGGATTTGTATCTCCTAGACAGAACAGAATAAACCTGGGAATGTCTTTTATTTATCTGTTCATCCAATAAATAACATTCCACTATAGATGGTAGCTCCCTAATCCTTAAAAAACCCTAAAAATCATCTAGCTTTGTGTAAATACTTTTTAGAACTTGGTTTGCCCTCCTAATGAAAATGGTTGCAATTACTATACATCAAAATTGGTTCTTACAGATGTTTCATCTCACTGCTAATTCCATTATACCCTTTTACTTCTTATCCAAATAATATAAATCAACAAGAGCTTCATTTCAGATAAAGTGTTTTTAAGTGCACTTCACATTGAGAAGCATTTCAGGCTCTGATTTTCTAATATACCAGCATCAGTTCTTTTCAGATCAGAGCTCAGAAAGTTACTTCAAAAAAGTAATTAGTTACACTTACTGCAAGCCCCCTCATAATTAATTAATTAACTAACTAAGTAAGTAATTAATAAAAATCCTCCCCAAAATTGCACTCAGGGTGGGTCAGAGTAACATTATATGAATGAATAAAATTAAAAAAATATTTAAAAAATGACAGTATTACCTTAGATCAATTTAAAACACTTTAAAACACATTGCTAAGAAAAGTACAGTTGCTAATTGATAACAAACCTCATCCCTGATATTCCATTAACTGAGAAAAGCTATCAGAAGTTACTGTCAAATCTGGATTTATTTTTTTTTACAAAATGGTTTACTAAAGTAATTTTAGTTATTGAATTTAGTTATTGAAAAACATTTGAATGCTACAAGCTGCTTGCTTGCAAAAAACACAAATCCCTAAGTAATCTAAGATAATGGCTGGAGTGCAGTAGCATAATGTTACACCATGTAAGGCTGATGACATCATAAGTGATGGCTATTTTTCAGGAATTAAAAGCTTCTCTTCCTCCCAAAAACGTTCTGAGGCTCCTTTGGGATCTCTTTTATCCTGGGGAATCTGTTGGGGGGGGGGCTGCAGGATGGAGAGGAAGTATTTAATTTCTGAAAATCATTGCCACTGGGATAATTTTACAACCAGTAGTGATTTTTTTGAAATTAAAGTCTCTCCCCCCCCCCCCGCATCCCACAGGATGAAAGGAATGCTAAGGGAGCCTTGTAACCTTGGGGGTGACGGTTTGGAAACTTTTAATTTCCAGAAAATATTATCAGATTTATGAAGCGTAACTTTACCCACTTGAATTTCAGGAATACTTTAATTATTAATATATACATCAAAGTACTTCTTTGTTATTATAATGAATACAGTAATAGTAACATAAAAAGAAGTGAAACTGCCACTTGTTAAATTGTTAAATTGCAGTCATAATATAACTTAAGAATAACAAAATATATATGTTATACATATGCTCTGAATTGGGGGGGGGGAGAATCATACTGCTTGTGTGGAGGGTAGACGTGGCAGTGTAAATAGAAGCTGATGAGTCCAAGGTGTCTTTCAGTCTTCTCACTAGAGCAGGGGGTCTCCAAACTACGGACCACAGGCCACATCCAGCCCGCGTGCATGTGTACAGGCGTGTGCATGCAGGTGGGAGTGTGGGCGTGTGTGTGTACACATATCTTCCTCCAGCCCTTGAAAATCTGAAACATATATATTGTGGCCCTCACTCTGAAAAGTTTGTGACCCCTGCACTAGAGCAACAGACCGTGGTTGGCCATAGTGTTAAAACCAAGCCACAA